CTGTGTCCACATTGCTTCTCTGAGAAGATTTTGATTTGACACTGTCCAGCATGACAAAATAATTCATCATGGGCAAAAAGCTGTATAATAAAGAGCTTAGAAAATGTATTTTGAAAAAAATAAAAGCGCATCTTTTATTTTTACTGCTTTGTTAAAAGCAACACTATCAACATCTGGGGACTTTGCATAATTTGCAAAGACCCCATATGATGACATACTCAGTGATAGTTCAGGAGGCAGGGAAAGGTAAAATTTACTTACCTGAACCTGTCCCCTGCTGCCATTTTCTTCTGGACAGACCTCTTCAGCTCCTGGAGCTTCAGTGCCAGATAACATCAATGCTGTACTCTGCCGTATGTTGTGACAGTACTGGATTGAGGTCTATGGAGGATCCCACAAGACAGCAAGAATTATTAACCTGTTTAACCAGTAATTATTTGTATCCCCAAACTAGAAAAGGAGAATTTTTCCTAAAAAGTAATTTAGTGTTAAATTCTATTACAAGAAATAATCCTTTCATGTTGCACATAAGTTAAAAATGCTATGTATGTTTTGGTTATATGGTTTTGGTGTGCTGTATTCATGGCATGTTTACTTTTACAAGACCCAATTGAACATGTATTTGTGATAATTCAGATTGCTCCCATGTTGTGATGCAAACATGAAACATCCTAAGATAAAATCCTAAATCACTATGTCTCTTTCATTTTTCGTTTAGGGATATCTTGGACAAGAGTCGACATCATTCTAACAGATCCTCTCCAGCATCAGCCCCAGTCAGTCATCAAATAAGTAACCTCATCCGCAGCAACACTCAGACACCCAATGACTCTTTAAGGCAAGGTAGTCTAGGGGATAGGTCCAAAGAAATTGAGCGTGAAAATTCTGACCGTTTACGGGATCCTTCATCCATAGAGCACAAGATCAAGGAGAGTCGATCTCCAATTAAAGAAGCCTCCATCCATGAAAAGAGACCGTCAGAAGATGGCAGCAAGCCAGTCATCCAGTCTGTATCTCCATATGGAAAACCAATCCTTAGTGATAGCTTGAAGCTGAGCAACCTTGTTGGGAAAGACGGTGAAAGAAAGCCTGAGCTGCCCACTGACCTCCAGAAGATTAAAAGTGATATCAAAGTCAAGGAAGAACGAAAGGAAGATTCAGATGTGTTAGTAGTGGGCTCAGAGCCTCCTCATTCTGCAAGGACATTAGAACATCAACAGCCTCCTCCACCCTCATCCTTGCATGGGTTATCTTTACACCACACAATGGCAGCCTCTATGCCCCTCTCTATGAGTAGCGTGCATCAAATGAACAACTTGAACATGCTGGAACGCAGTCGTATGATGAACCCTCTTGTGGGTATGAGCCCTCTACCTGGCAGAGAGCGATTACCGCATGCAGGTTTTGCCTGGGACCCAGTAAGGGATCCTATACGGGATGCCTACCGCACACTGGACTTGCAAAGGAGAATGGATTTCCATTTACGAGCTGATGGCATGCACAGATACCCAGCAACAACTGCTGCCACTTTCTATGACCATGAACGTTCTTATCGGGACCGTGAGCCACATGATTACAGCCACGAGCAGCTCCTGGAAGCAAGGAGGGAGCAGGAACGATTAAGGCATGCAGACGAAAGGGAGAGAATGCACCTGAGGGAAGAGATAGAAAGGGCACGTATGCATCACTTGCACTCCTCCCCTCTGGAGAGCCACCTGGCACACATGCCATCTTTCATGCCTCATTTAAGCAGTGTGCCCTACCCCAGACTGAGCCCTTCTAGCGCCATGCACAATGGGATCCTAAACAGGACCCCACCTACAGCGGCACTTAGTGCCCCCCCACCCTTGGTTCCAGCCAGCAACACAAGGCCCGCCTCTCCCCGCAGGACTAATCCCCTCACAAATTCAGAAGCTCGGGACTTCTCACCCTCCAGAAACCCCAAGGAAGTTGAAGCTCGATAGTTCCTTCCTGGGGGAAAAAAAGACACCCACAGGAAACAGACACCATGGATTTTAAACTTGTCCTGTATATATCTTTTATGAAAGTGCACTGCTCAAACCCTTTTCTTCTCTTTCCTCCTGTTTTTGTAAATGTACATTTGTAGGCTAAGCACACTTTCCTTTAGCCAGGGGGACACTTCAGGGGTGATAAATGTTCCAACCTGGAAACCAAGGATTCTGCTCTTAAGGTCTCTGGTCATATGACTATTTTTCTGACAAGGGAGGCCCAGTAGCCGGTGGGACGGGTTTAGGAGGGGAGGGAGTTTTTAAATGGATTTTTGTAGTTTTTACAGTATTTTTGTTTTTTCGCTACGGTGTTCTTAGTCTCTTCCAAAAAAAAACAAAAAAAACTTTTTTCTTTAATTTTATATTAGTTTCAATTCTCCTCTCATAAGTAAACCTGATCTTTCCATAAACTACATAAGGGTGTTGACCCCTTCACTGCAGGAGGTTTGTACAAGACTCTGCAATGCATATTTATACAAACATATATATTCTGTGGTGCAATCTGTTGTAGATACCTCCAGCACTGAAGGGTTAATGGGATTTTATGGATTCTTCTTTATTCTTCGGCTAACAGATCAACATTCTTGCTACCATTTTTGAACAGAAATCACAGATCTATTATTAAAATAATAAGATTAATGTACAAAACAGTTGCTTTTTTGCCTTATTTTATTACATAAATTTTAAAAAATTCTTTTTTTCCCATTTTTTTCTTGGGAAATAAATACCTAGATACTTGCAGGATTGTACATATTCATTTTCTAGGTTACTATGACTCGTATGATGCGGATCCACCACAGACTTTGTGAAGCCACCCACACGAGCAGAAAACACAAATTTCAAGGATCACACTCGCAGTCTCGCCAACACCTCGTCATTATACTATGCAATCGGTGTGTGAGGCGGGTCCTGGAAAGAGGGTATTCTGGTTTTCTTCTAAATTTGGCCCTGCTAACCCTGTGCCCTCATCTATCCCCCACCACCTTCCAAAAATATTAAGGGCACATGGTGACTTGCGCTGGAACAGAAATATAAAACCTATTTTTGAAAGGAAGAGCTAAAATATAACCATTTCAAGCAAAGGTGAAATCTTTTTCAGTATTTTTTATTTTATTGAGTTGGGAAGTAAAAGGACTGAAACATCATCCCTTGACACCAGACCAGGGTTGTTTTGTAGAATTGGGGGTACTACCTACTCAAGTGCCAGCTCTACTAGGCTACCAAGTGGACCTGATTTTATTTCCTTGTAAACCCATTGTGCTTTGAACCTGTGCAGTGTTTTAACTGAAATCTGTATACAAGAGCGGTAGAATCTTAGGAGTGCGCAAAAGCAATTATATATAAATATATCTATAATATCTATATATATATATATATAAAACGGTGGAAAGAAAGTGTCTAAAAAAAGAGAACCAATCTTTTTGTCCCTTTTAAATTTTTCTTTTAAACATGATCCTGCAGTTCCAATGTTCTTGTGTCTTGTTTACCTCTGTTTTCTGTTAATTTTCATTCAGGGTTGTTTCATACAGGAGGGCTGGTTTACTATAAATTTAAAACCTTTACACATATTGCAGCTATACTGGATATATGGAATTTAACAACATAAAGCAACATTATCAGAAAGATTTATAAACTATCCATTATATTTCTTCAGTTTACAAGGTAGTCTCCTTCATTTACAGTACTGAATACTCTTTACAAATATTAGCAGTGTCCAGAGCTTCCAATTATAATAGAAACAATAATTTTCTGCTACCAGTTTTTAATCCGGTGTTCCTTAGCTTACCATTTGTTGTAAGTTTATTGTATTAGCTGATTAATTAAATTTTTCATTCCAGATCTATAGTGCTTGAGTGGTTAGCAGTATGTCACTTAAATAGCCTGGTGTTTTGTTTCCCTGGTATATGGTAGTTTTACAAAATAGAACTTTCATTGCCACGCAGCTAGTCAATTGTATTTATCCAGCTGTGGAACACCAGGTCATAAGAATCAGATTTGTTGGAGGCCTATTATATCCTAGTCCAGTATTAGTATGAATGTGCAAATCCCCTCATAAGCAGTGATCGATGCTTTAATAAAACTCTGTTCAAAGCTAGTATTTTGAATGGTGATGGAATACGCCTAGATCTCTGAAAGCTATTAAAGGTCATTTTTGACACATGCAACTACTGGGAAAATGTGAGATGGTGAAACGTAAATTGAGAACACATTGTTTTTAGAAAAGCATGTTTATCTCAAATAGACAGGCAAAACAGATTACAATATTAGTAGAGGTCATTGTTATATAATACAAAATCTTACTTGTCCCCAACTATAGTTCTTCACTCTGAAGTCAAAAACTATAGGTTAGAATGACCAATCCAAAATCTGATTTAACATCCAACTAAATCACAGTACCCATCCACCAGAAAGTTTCCTACATACTACACATTGCAACATTCATTATATTCACTTTCTCAAAGTAAACTTTCAGACAAGCACTCAGTTGGTCTACATAGTAATCATGTCTGTATGGCAACATACTTAAAGTTTTGAAATGCAAACAATTATTATGTATTTAACCCCAACATATTCCTCAGTGCTTTACAGTTCTAGAATGGGATTATTGATAAGTGATTGACATACCAGATATTAACAGAGACAAGAGGTGAAAAAGACCCTGCTCAAATGAGCTTACTATTTATGAAATCAAGCATTATGGAGATGTCTGTTTAAATGTATATGCCAATTAGAAATGTACAGAATTCCTCATTCTTGAACACGTGCCAGTTGTAGGCGCATCAGAATGTTAAAATAACATGGGGGGGTATATAAACGTGGATGAAGGGGCTAGACTGCTTTAGTTGAACAATCTGTTATATGTTTTATGTTGGTGTTCCCTCCTCTACTAACAGTACAAATTTGGATGGCAAATATCCCAGTTAAAGGGTTACTCTAACTCTCTCTCTCTCTCTCTCTCTATATATATATATATATATATATATATATATATATATCTCCATCCATTTTTATTTACAATATCCATATTGGACATTGGTCACTCCTTCTCCTCCACCCCCTAAATCTGTAAAATTAGCAATAACATGGAATTCAGCACTAGGCGAAGCTCTCCACAACTTGTCCATCATAAATGCTTCCCTCTCTGAGGTCCAAGAAAGTGCTTCTCATAGTGCATTTGATTGAACCAATCTCCAGGCTCAGAGTGCATGCGTACACAGTGTCAGGGAGTGTGAGATGGACAGAAGAGGGGATTATATTTAAAAAAAATAAAATTCAATCATAATGTAGGGAGGCAGAAAGTGCTGGGAGAAATATAGAAGCTTCCCCTTCAGACATGCCCACAACGCTGCCTGCAAGAGTAGAGGCTGATTACCCCTATCGCCAGTGCGTGCTGACAGGCTTAATTTTTGCACAGAATTCACATTAGGCAGCTCAGAATAGAGTGCCAAGCTGCTTAAATCACATGTGCAATGGGCACACAAGTCCAGATTATTCTGTATAATCAGTGTTTCAAGCTGAAATGTTGCACATACAGATTACTTTTCTCCGTGAACACTTGTAAAAGCAGAAGTAGTCATGGAGGTTAGAGTAACCCTTTAACGCTATAGTCTGCAGCACTACACCAGGTACACATACAGGTTTATTTAAAAAAAACAGAAATAGACAACTTTCAAAAGTATGTCCAAATAGCCTAGTAAGGGACTTTTTTTCTCCAAATTGCTTAATTTTCTTCTAAATGTTGGTTGTCCGCTAACTGCCTGATAAATTTGTTTTCAGCTTTAAAGCTAGCCTGCTAGGAGCACTTGAGGACAGAATTGAGAAACCCTGATTTACAGTATAACCTCAAGGCATTCATTCTCTGCACAAGTATATGGCTTCTTAATACAAAATCTCTGGTTTGGAGTCTCATTTTTATGCTGTGCCCTGTCTGGAGGTAAAGGGCGGGGGATAAACGGCACCATTAGTTCTGAACTTAGAAATAATTTTTAATAATGGTACATTTAGATGAACTACCAAGTAGAATTGCCCCATGCAATAACTCATAGAGCCATTAAATATATATATTTTTTTTTTTAAACAAAATTTACTCTTAAATTATCTATCATATCAATCACCGCCATTTCTCCTTCTCTCAGGCTCTGGTTTTGAATCCTTTAGTCTTATATTACTATTGGTTTCCAAAGCCTTTATTCCTCTTGTATGACCGTTTACTTTTTTTTCACCCTAAACTATTTGTATTCTAAACAGTTAAAGATTATTATGTAGATTGATTTTAACAAGAAAAAAAAATACAACTTTAATTTGGATGAAAACTTGTATTGGAGTATTTGTGTTCTAGTGGTAACTCAAGGTATCTTTGGGTCAAAAATATTAGTGTTGATGCAATGGTAAAGTCTCCAGTTGTATAGGTATATGTTGACTGTACTTCACCATTTGTACTTCTTGTTGTTTGGTTAGATCTCCATTACGTTTTTAAAAATGTTAGGGACTGTCTTATCTAATAACAGCTATGCAACACACTATATTGCAAGGGTGCCCAATAGGTAGATCCCCAAATGTTTTCACACTACAGCTTTAATGATGCTAAGGCATTCTAAAGGAATGCAAAGCATCATGGGAGTTGTAGTTATACACAATCTACCTTTTGGCCACCCTATTGCTTTTCATACCATTTTATAACTTCCAAAACCAATCCACTTCATTTTAAAAGCGGATGGACATATTAATGTGGGGGAATTTCTATACGTAATATTCTAATAGAAGACCAGTTTGCTGGACTTTAGGTAAGTACTTAGCGGCTTTATGTTGCGTAAAGCCATATATGGGTTTATGATTGCTTTCCGCATCTTGCTAAAGTCCATTGGTCAATTTCAAAACCAGGTAAAAACTGATTTATTTATTTTTTTCCCCCTCACTGGATTGGACTCTAATTCTGGTACAGTTTCATTCACTACAAGCATAGCTCAATGGTCTAATAACTGGAACATATGAAGACAGTGGCAGGTGGCTTGTTTTGCTGCCCAGACACAAACTACATTTTAAGGAGTATAACAGCAGCTGTCCACATGTTAAGAACAGTTTGAACGAAAGGAAAAATGTGTTAATACATTTGGAAAGGAAATAAAATCCCAAAGAACATTCCCTCACGTACTTATTTTAATTCTAGTAAGGGAAAGTTAGCTTCAAATGTATCCATGTGTCATATTCTAAGTGGCTACATGTAAAGCTGTGACCATGCCAGCCACTGGCTGTAATTCAGCACTAACTGCAGGCCACAGTTGGACATCCCTCCTCTATAAAATCTGTGTGTAGGTTGGGCCAAATGAGGTCACTTTACACAGGGCAAATAGATTGCGATGGAATCAAGCATCACACCAGAGCATGTATCACTGGAGCCATCATTGTTCGTTCACTGTAATATCTTTTTCTGTGATTACACCATGAATATAAGAGGTAGAGAATACCAGTCAAAGGTTACCTCCTTTTACAGAGGAGTGTGTATAAAAGAGTGGTTTAGACAATAGAGGTGATTTACAGGCTGCTCAATACACTTGTGTGGAAATATCCTCTATATATTCAATGCAAGCAAATCTGAGGATCCCTGGAAGATATTCTAGGTTTGTAATGGGAGAGCATGATAGACTGACCTAAATGATGTAAAGAAGCAGGGTAATTTAATTTTGCCCCCTGGTGAGTGCTTCTGGTGATACCGTTATAGCTTAGATCATTTAAATCACGGAAAAAGGGTATGAAAGTGGATGCCGGCACACCAAAAAAAAAGTGAAGAATTGAGGTAAGAGATTTATACGGTATTCTTGGCAGAGTTGCCTCTAGTAGGCGAACAGTCTCTGTTAAAATCTGCCTTTGTCAACTACCATCCCTCACTAATATACCTTTACCAATTTCACCTATTTTCACCAGTGTGTCATCAACAATAGGTCAAAATGTGCTATAAAAGAAAACAAACTGAAGTGCTCAAAGTAATGACTGGAAGTAGCATAACGCCTGTTAAGTCATATGGCACAAACAGTTTAATGTTCTGTGTGTTTGTTTGAGGACACAATGCACTAGAAAGTGGAAATATTCCTATAAAACTCATTGTAGGGTTCCTTTTTTTTTTTTTTTTTAAACTAAAATAAATAACCACATGATTTGGTTTTGTACATCGAATCAACCTGAAGCTAGAATATGGCATGTTCCTCACCACTGGATCAGTAACTGAGCAGGCTTTTCCTTTCCTAATAAAATGTTATTTTGGCTGTAGACAAAACATACCACCTAATAAACCAAATACATTTTAACTAGAATTGAATAGATTGTGCTCTCCCAGCTATCCAATAAAAGCAGTTGTACTGGTAGACTCTTGTTTTTCTGCCCAATTTAGTTCTAGATAAAGTGCAACGCAATATAACCATAGATGTAATACAAATCCTATGCATCATAGCCTGGTTAGAATAATACTCTAAAAAAGTAAACACACTGTGCTATACAAAATGAAATACGGTCCCCCCCATGTAGACTGTGTGGAGGTGTGGCTAGAGCTACATAAACAAATTAATTGATGTCTTAAATGATAGAGAACAGGGGCATTACCAATACATCAAAACAGCATCATTTAGATAATGTAATTTTGGTGCCGATGGTATCCCTTTATGGATAGATAAATAAATAGGATGCATTGCTCGCAGACTCTTCTGAATACTCCTTAAGTACACAAATTGTTGTAAACGTGGGGCAGAAAGAATGTGGTCAGCTTACCTACATATAGACCTTTTGTTACTAGATAAAACCATCATTGGGTACTTGAGAAATCTTCCAGAGAAAACATGCACTAAAATGGTTTACATCATGATTTGCGCAGACATTGTTAACCAACTAAAGATGAAGTACTGTTAACTATACGGTACGAAAATTGCTAAACACAAAACATTGATAACAAAAAGATTCACAATCCCTGTAATGTCAGTGTAGAGTGATGTAGTTGTAGAATCTATAAAAGCAACAGGGTTTTTTTTGTTATCCCCTCCTTATTTGCCTATACAGCTTTACATTTTTAGATTAATACATAAATCATAAACTTGGGATAGCTTTAAGGGGACACTGTGCACCATAACAACGTAATGCGAATGAAGTTGTTTTGGTGCAGCTTACCTGAACGGGTTAAACCATTAAAGAATGGTTTAACCTGAAAGTCTTTAAAGGTACTCTCCAGTGCTAGGAAAACATATCCGTTTTCCTGGCTCTGTAGTGCCCCTCTCCCATCCCACGTTGCTGAAGGAATTAAAATCCCTTCAGTGACTTACCTGAATCCAGCGCCGATGTCCCCCGGTGCTGGGTCAGGCTCCGCCCATGATCCTCCCCCACCGATGTCAGCCGGCGTGGGAGACCTAATGTGTATGCGCGGCATTAGACCTCCCCATAGGAAAGCTGTTAATGCTTTTAATATATATATATATATATATATATATATATATATATATATATATATATATATATATATAATCAATGCTTTCCTATGGTGATTCCGGCAACGCTAGAGGTCCTCATGCATAGCTTAAGGATGTCCAGCATAGTTTAAAACACTTTTTGGGTTTTAAGAACCCGGAAGTCCCTCTAGTGGGTGTCTGATAGACTGCCAATAGAGGAGGACTTAACCCTGCAAGGTAATTATTTCAGTCTATAAAAACTGGAATAATTACACTTGCAGGGTTAAGGGTGATGGGAGTTGGCACCCAGACCACTCCAATGGGCAGAAGTGGTCTGGATTGTCCCTTTGAGTGGACGTCCACATGATCTGCCCCTGTACTTCCACTCCGTGTCCAAAGCTTCAATCAGTATGCCTTGGATCGGTGCCACGGATAGGCTGAGAGCATCAGCTGACACTTTAAATCGATTCCATTGGGAAAAAGGTACATATGAGCTGCTGCTATAAGCCTGATTGAAGCCTTGGACATAAATGGGTTTAGCCAGCTTGAAGACTTTTAGATTAAACTGTTCATTAAAGGTGTAACCCCTTATTGTAAGCTGGGACAAAGGACCTCTGCCTATTGTGCCCAAAGTGGTCCTTTAAGTCAGTAACATTTTCTGATTCCAGCAGTAAAATGGGCCATTTAGATTATATCTTTAAAACTGTCAGGTAACAGCGTCTGACAGTCAGAAAGCATTATGCATCAGTGTTACATTGTAACATGCCCTAAATGTTTATCTGACTTTTTATAAAACGTTCAAAGGTTCACTTTACAGAAAGATTTCTTCTATTACGTTAATAATTAGCTGTTGTGCTGCATATGCCGTAATGTTTTCAAACAAAACCATTTATAGTGGCCTCTTGTTCCATTGTCTGTCAATTTCTGCCACTAATATTGAGGGCTGTCTAAGTACCATAACCAATACAGGTCAGAATGGTGGTCCTAGTGCAAATAGCCTTTACTGTATGTCCCCCTGTTTTGTTTGTTTGTTTTATTGGGGAGGAAAGGGGTAAACCATATGGAAACTGTTTAAGAAACAATCAAGGCTCTATATATTCATTAACTTGGTTTAAAAACAAACTTTGAGCTATAGCCAATTACATTTTACAAGAAAATGTGAATGCTTTAATTGGAGCTGTGAAAAAAGGGTAACACAAGTTATGTTAGTTTTAATGCTTTATTGAATGCTATAAATCACAGGAAAGTGATGATTCCCCAGTAAAATGGAGAGAATTTTTGAGTATATCCTACGCTTGTACAAGGATTCGTTTGACAGTCAGACTAGGAGTGATCTACAAGCTTATATGGAAGATGGCCAAGCTCTATTTTCACCATTCACATTGTGTTAAAGTGGTGGTTGAAATCACTGTGCCATGGTGACTAAGCACACTGATTGCCTGCAGAGTGGAACCCATGATATTTAGACGTTGGCAGTGGGCATCTAAACTATCTGGTTGGTCTTGGAAACGAATGGTAATGTGCTGCTTTAATCTTGTCAGAGGTGAAGCAATTGGTCCTCCTTATCTTATCTCAACATGTTCATGTCAAGGTTTCAGGACTTAAGGGCTATGTTACAACAAGCAGAGCTCAGCATGTGATAAATGCTAATGACACAGATAGTGTGTGTCAGTCCTTATTAAAAGGTACACTGCAACTCTGCAACTCCAAGATATACTATCAAGTAAAAGTGACTTACATCCTCTCTATCTTATCTTAAAATATCAATGCAGTAGACTTTGTTATGAGTTTTGCAGAAAATATCACAACCTTTCCAATTTTACAGCAGATAAGTAAGTTTATCTTAAAACTTATCAAGTGAAGGGAAAATTCTGGCCATAATTTCTATAAATGCTGGTTTATTGAACCAGGGCCAGCTTTAAAACAAACTTGTAGGATAACAGACTTGTTGAGTG